ATATATATTGTTATCGTTACCAATATGTATGGATATCAGATTTGTCCGTTTGCAATATGGAATACTTCTACTTTCATTTGAGTGGAATATTGGACCGAATGTGATATGCGAATATTCCGGCGATTCCTATATTTAATATTTGATAATGGGTAGATTCTTGCATTGATGCCATTTGTTAGTGTAATGCTTGTTGCTATACGTTTCAATTCAATAAAGGTTTGGCTGTGCGAGTTATACACATCCCTAGTTGTCAATCCATCTCAGCATCTCCAATCTGGGTGTCATTCACTTTTTATTTGATGCCTAAGCAGAGTATATTGCTTTAAACTCGTTCTTCCTACTCATAGGATGTTGTGGGGAGTGACCTGAGGTTAAATTTAGATCTCTCCAGCGCTGATGCTACATCTGCACCTGTGTTCATAGACACCAGCAGCGCTAACGCCTTCTTCTCGTCTGCACAAATGGTATGCGTGTGCACATGCACCATTCCGTGACCGTCTTGAAAGTACCAGTAAAGTAGGGCTTTGCGCTTGTTTCTGCGGAGTAGTGTGCCTCCCAGAGTGTACTCCATGCTCACCTAAAAGCGCCTATACAGGGGGATTTTCAATATTTCAGGACAAATGTGCATCATTTACCCGGTCGATTTAGAGTGCCGGAATAACTCACACCATGAGGGACCTTATACTCATCTAGTTGACCATCGGTGTAACTATGAGCGTGTGTACCTGTCGTCCATTGACGCTTGGTATTGTATTGTAAAGTGTTTCAGAATTTTGTGCTTGTACTCAAATCGGTGTTCGCGTCAGAGATGCTGATACGCGAGTTGCCGAGGGCCGCTACAATCACATGCATCTCCTAACGCACTCACGGTATCCCAGCCAGCGCCTATCTATTGTGCATAAAAGTGTACAACGCTTTACAGTCAGATCTAAAACGGCTTCGGACTCTTCTGTTTGCGTACTAGTCGTGGAGTGATTATAAACAGTCACTCGTCACTGATCACCGGCGTGCACATGGGCGGCCGATACATATCGCAGGTCGAACGAACGTATGGGCGTTTGATGTCTACCCACCTTCATCTCAGTAGTACTATCGCCCGGGTCATTTGGTAGTCACTCGCTATAAGCAAGATAGGCGAGTCACTATATTCGTATTTATATTGTTTGCATGGTCTCTGTAGCGGGAAGGAGGTCGGTTTGGAGAAGAGGGATGGGGCTACGAGCCCGAAGGCGTGCTTCTGTCGAGATTAAACAATGCCTTCTTCCGGAATCTGTGGCATTTGTCTACAATAGCGTTACGCACATGGACGGACTGGCTCCTGTTTCTGTCGTTGCCTGTGCTGGTTGCTGCTTACATCGCTGCGGGTAAGGACACGGCATCCAACACAAGGGTAGCCATCCAAGGGCGGCTTCTGCTAGCTGTGCTCTTCGGTGTTGTATACGCTTGTGTGCTAAGTTGTGTATCTCCCTGGTGTGTTGCTCCCTGGTGTGTTGAGCAAGATAACATGTGAGTACCCGTGCTGCTTTGAATAGCTGTGCGTACGTTGTTGCCTATCAGGTTGCACCAGCCAGGTGCATATAC